TTTTTCTTTTTGCTTATGTGGTGCTGAGGAATCGAACCCAGAGCCTCATGCATACAAGGCAAGCACTCTACCACTAAGCCACCTTCCCAGCCCCAAGAAATATCTTATAAATATGTTAGAAACAATAGCAAGAAAGAAAAAAACATTTGAGTCCTTATCTTGGGGTGCATTTAGCCTAACATCAACCTATCTGACCGTTTCTGCTTGTCTCAGACATATTCTCCTCTTTTCTTGATTTAGAAAATGACAGGATAGTATGCTCTACTATGTTGCTGAAGTTTACCTACCTGGATCGGGAGATTTCACTTTCAGTAAAGCTGCTAGTTTCTTCACTAAGTGCATGTCCTTGGCTCGTTCGCTCTTTTTATCACTATAATAATAAATACAAGTTTACACATATACAAACACAAAAGGTTACAGAATATGAAACTATTTCTTCTAATTCGGATATTTCTTTGTTCTTTATATGTGTCCTTTTATATGTTCCCTATTTAATATTAAAGTTATCCTCTAGTGATGAAATCACAAAGCACAGTGAGGTAAGGGAATCAGAAGTTAGCTCAGTAAGCTTACCTCAGAGCTAAATGGAAAGGAACATTCACTGTTTTCACACTTGCAGAGACAGGGTCAACAAGGCAGATCTGGTAGGTCTGTGGCTGCCAACTCTGACTGGTAACATTGTTTAAACCCATTATTTTATAGCCAGGATACAGTAATCTAAGGAAATCATATACCAAAATGGTAAAATATTAGAAAAAGGAGACATGCCAAAAGGTGCTTTTATAATAGCCAGGAGACACCATCCCACCATTAACTCAGGAGCATTAGCAAATGAATATTGATACCAAAAGCCAGTAAAGCAGGTCTCAACTGACAAGAGTTGATTGGCTTTAAAAGGATCTAGAGAACTAAATAAACACAATCAGGCCTATGTTTCAATGGCACACATCATCACTAGCAGAGCATGAAGGAAACTTTCCTTTTGAGTCTTTACAGCTGAGTAAGGGACAAATGGCTATGCCAACCTAACTTTCATTCAACTGCCTCAGGTAATTTTTTAGTAATATTTCTTTGTTATTAAATACTTAATTACATATCAGGTATTCACAGAAAAACCTGTATGAAGATAATTACAGTTCTCTAGCAACTTGTAATCTTTAAGTTGCCTTAATAAAAAGCTTTAAGAAAAACAACCCTGTATTTTTTTTCACAATCAGCAAAATGTCAGAGGTTGCAGCTTACCTGCAGTGCTTACCCACGTTGAAAGCTCCTACTCTAGGTCCCTGCTGAGTACTCCAGACTTCTAAAATTCCCCTTCTTGGTGCATAAATCACAAGGAACTGAGCTACTCGACTGGGACCCTGAGTATTTCCAAAGGGGGAAAAATCCACCTTCTCTGGTACTCTTTCATGGAGGTCCTCTACAATTTGAATCCATCCAATTTGTGCATCTCGGTACCCTTGGAGACACAGGAAAAGAGAAGCCAATTAGTCACTCTGGGCTTAGGAGTAGCCTCTTGAAGCACTGGACAATTTAAGGAAGAGAATCAGAAAAGCTATAGAAGTACATTATCTTTTTTAAGAAATATTTTCAACAGAAAGGATAATACATATAATAATTTGTCACAGAAATTTACCAAGTTTTAATACTTTGTCACCTGTATTTGCTTCAGATAATTTTTTTTAGAAAGAAATATTGGGTATCATTGAAGTTTTCTGAGATATTTTCCCCAAACTAGCACCTGTTCCTATTCCCTTCCTTCCCTCTGAGATTCCTTCCTTTAAAAAAACTTGTGGCTAGCCGGGCACCGGTGGCTCATGCCTGTAATCCTAGCTTCTCAGGAGGCTGAGATATAATGATTGTGGTTCAAAACCATCCCAGGCAGTAAAGACCGTGAAACTCTTATCTCCAATAAACCACCAGAAAACCGGAAGTGACGCTGTGGTAGAGCGCTAGCCTTGAGCTGAAGAGCTGAGGGACAGTGCTTAGGCCCAGAATTCAAGCCCCACAACCGACAAAAAAATAAAATAAAATAAAATAAATTTTAAAAATTCTGGAAAGATCACTAGGTTTGTCTTCCAAATAAAAACCAAGTTGAATATGAACATATATTACTTCTCCTTCCTTCCCAAGCTAGAACCATGATAGAACCATGAGTGGGGCAGCTTCATGGAGGGAGACTGGGTCTGAGGATTTCACGGTGAGATCATGTTGTATACTTGAGTCTGTTATTCTTGCACCTGAATGAAAGTGGTACTGTTACTAGTGAACTAAGTAGACTGATGTAAGCATAAAGATGTAACTAAGTCAAGTCAATAATGATGGAGTTTGCCCATTTTACTCTCTTAAATACACCTGAAAAATTCAGCATTGTAGACTTGGGAGAACCTCTGCCTCAAGAGTAGCTTTGTGGGCTGGGAAGGTGGCTCAGTGGTAGAGTGCTTGCCTTGCATGCATGAGGCCCTGGGTTCGATTCCTCAGCACCACATAAGCAAACAGAAAAAAGCCAGAAGTGGCACTGTGGCTCAAGTGGTAGAGCACTAGCCTTGAGCTGAAGAGCTGAGGGACAGTGCCCAGGCCCAGAGTTCAGGCCCCATGACCAACCAAAAAAAAAAGTGAATTAACTTTTTTTTCTCAATTTCCATAAGTACCTTTCCACATACGTATTGCAATTCCTCTAGTGACATCCAATAAAATCACCCTGCCAAAATCATCTGTTACTGCTGCCAGTGTGTTACATGGAGACAGACAGATGCTTTCACCATGGCGTCGAGAATCTGGAAGACCGAATCTGTTATTTAAAAGAAAATAAAAACTCAAATCACATTCAAATCAGGAAACTTAGAATAAATGAATGCACAAATAAAATATAGTTCTTCTATAGTTTTTACATAAAGAAATATGAATTTTGCCTAGGTTAAAAGATATTTTACTGCAACAATGAGAAGTACAAGTTGTCCTGTTGAAAACGAACTTTACAACTTTGGTGGGGGGGGGGAAGATTGGGTGAGGGGACGGGGGGGGGAGGCTGGGAAGGGATGTGAAGGGTAAACAAAGGAGGAGGTTGCAATGCTTGATAAGAAATGTACTTATTGTCTTGCCCATGTAATTGTAACCCCTCTGTACAGTATGTTCACAAAAATAAATAAAATTATAAAAAAAGATAATTTACTAATTAAACACATATAATATAAAAATTTACAATATAAAAATGTATAAAAAATAAGTCTCATGTAAGTTTCTGTACAGATATCCATATCCTACATTTTTAGAAAATACGAAGTATATTCACAATCAACTAAAGTTGAGAATGCTCTGCATCTTTTGTCTATTTTAAGTTCTTCCTAATCTGTGCTTTTTTCTAGGTAACATATTTTGCTTGACAGCAATGTATCAGCCTGAATCAAAATTTTCCTTTTCCTAATGTTCTTGCTAAAGTGCTATTGATTTGAAATCAACCTTCTTAAGACTATGAGTGAAATAATGTACTGTCAAAAGATCAGAAGAAAAAAATTCCTGAGTCAAAAGCACTCAAAATTCTGTCATATTCTTTTTGAGATACATAAGGCCATCTGGCCAATTTCTTGACTTTTGAGTGAATATAGAAAACGTGGTATGTCACAATGTAACTTTTTTTTTTTTGGGTGCCAGTTCTGGGGTTTAAACTCAAGGCAAAAGTGCTGTCCCTGAGCTTTTTTGTTCAAGGTGAGTACACTACCACTTGAGCTACAGTTCCATTTCTGGCTTTTCAATGGTTAACTAGAGATAAGAGTCTCATTGACTTTCTCACCCTGGGCTGGCTTTGAGCTGTAATCCTCAGATCTCAGCTTCCTGAATTGCTAAAATTATAGTTGTTAACCATCAGGCACCTGGCTACAACATAATATTTTAAAATAAAGTGAAAAAAAATCAAACTTCAGTATATTTTTACTAAGAGATAACTAGTTTGCTTTGTTCAGTTGAAGAATACCTTTAAAAAGAGGGATGGGAGGTAATGTTTCCCTTTAGGATGGTACTTTACATTAGGTAAAAAGAGATATGACAGTAAAAATTTATGCTTCCTCTCTACAAAAAAAAAAAATTAAATCAAATCTCACAGATCCACTATCATATCCTAAAGTCCTACTAAGGTAAACAAGGATAAGCACAAGTATTCTGAAGAGAGTTGGAATACAAATGACTCTGGTTAATTTATTCATTCATTTGTTTTCAAGACAGAGTCTCAAGACCCCGTCTTGAGGCTGGCCACAAACATGTTATTTTTTTCTCACTCAGCTTTCCAAGTACTGAGATTATTTTTTTAAGTCACTAAACACCTTTTAAGTTTGTAGTCTAATAACAAACTAAATAAACATTTTAAAGCAGGAAACACAATAGCTATTGTTAGATTGATTTTTTTTTGGCAACTGAAGCTAAATTTGTTTAAAAGTGCAGTTTACAAATACTTCTTGAGTACTTGCTATATGAGAGATAGCTGTGAATACAACAGATAAAACTCACTCTTCTTGTGTAGTTTATATTTAGTGAGATTTTCACTAAATTGATGATTTTCAGAAGCTTCTAAAGACTCATGAAGACAACAATCAAGTATAGGCAACTAAAATGCCGTACATGTAATAATATACATCCGTAAAAACTAAAAGGAGAAACCTGGTAGAACTTGCCTTACAGCTAATGGGGTAGCTGGTTCCATCTTGGGCTTTTGCTTCTGGACAGCTTCTTCTTCATGCTTATTTTTCCAACCTAGCCAACCACTGAAAAGAAGAAAAATTAGAATAAAACTAGAGTTTTGAGTTTTTGTAATATAGACTATCAAAATATACACTAAAACCAAGCTAGATACAAATTACATCATCTTTGTTACTGAGTTACCTGGCAGCATTAAATAAAGCAGAAGTGAGTTTACTTGCAACTGCTAGAGCAACATGAGATAGTAATGGCTGCGTGCTTCCCTGTAAGACACAACACATGAAGAGAAAACTTAGCTCCAAGAAAACAAACCTAATAAACCTAATGTCTAAACAAGCCTACTTAAAAAAATTTTTTTTAAAAGTTGCTAAAACTGGACTAGCAGCTCAGCTTCTTTTGAAAAGTAAGAACCTCATTGCAGTAATATAATTTTAAAAATTCTTACTCTAATTTTGAAATATAACTAGCAGTCTAACTTACCTTTAGAATTTTGCTCTTCAGTTACACTAAATGATAAAGTAGGCCATTAAGACAACAGTACTATAACTGTGCTAAGGATTTCCCATCTGCCTACAACTTGGCTCTTGCCCTTCTTTTTAAAAATTTAAGTATTTTTATAAAAGTAAGTTTGGTCAATTCTGAGATGACTGCTTCTTAAGTGAGAAATAAGAACTGTGAAACCTAAGGCCTGGATTTTCCCTAATTTAGGAAGCAATGTTACTACATATGTCAAGTATGCTTGTGGCTTGTTCTACCTTCACAAGTTTTCACTTATTCAAACCCCCAGTAGGCTGACATAATTAACCATCTTGAGCTTTTTGACTGTTCCAGAATATAAAAAGAAAGTTGCAAAAGAACTCGTCTTCCGAAACAAAGCTTTATTTTTTTACCTTGAGTATTTAATCTTTTTCAGTTAATTTAAATAACTTAAAAGAAATGTAGTTATGATTAATTATCACTTCAACTGAAACTTAGAAACATAAGCTACTAAGTCTATATTGCTATACTGCTATATTACTAAGGCTATATTGTATGCAAAATTTAGACAAGGTGAAAAATAAAAGTGGCCCTACTTATGATCAGTACTGAAACACATACCTCAAGAGCATAGAAGAAGCCAGTAAATGGATTGGACCCTACAGTGATATATTGGGACATAGCAGGTGGGCTGTTTTTAATTGCTGCATTAAATCCGCCTATATTGGAGGCAGTCTTCATTTGATCAAAAGGGGACAATGTCATAATACCTAACACACAAAACAAATAAAAATCATGACAAGATCTGAATATACGGAAGTGACAATAGCATTGTAGGTCATTATGCGTTTACTTCAGTTCTATTCTGAGATCCCATGTGTTTAGTTGAAGACAAGTTAGGTTGAAAACTATAAAATCAACATTCCTTTATAGGTTTTTATATAGTGAATTGTTATAAATTGTTAAGTGTGGGGTTGAAAGGGATCTGCCTTTTTTTTTTTTTTAATTTTTAAGATAGTGTCTGGCTATGTTGCCAAAGCTGTCCTTGAATACCTGGGCTCACCTCAGCCTTCTAAATAGCTGGGACTATAGGGATGAACCACGCTTGGAAATTTGTAATGTAAAAACTTCAATCTTTTGTAATGGAGTTACTTTTCTTTAAAAAGTGGAGTTGCGGCAATTTTTTTTATAATTTTCCTTGCTATGAACTTTTAAAATTATAAGTAGAAATGATTATTATGAACCCTAAATCTAATTCTATTTGGCTTTCATTCTCATCATTCCTCTTTAACTGATCCAAAAAATAGCCAATAAGAGTTCAGAGTTGTCATATCCTATGGGCCCTCCTCCTTTTTGGAACTCTATATAAGGCATTCCATAGTTAACCCTTCCCCATCCCCAATTTGTATCTACAATCTCACTTCCTCCCTAAACCTCAGACTCATGTGTCCAGTTTGCCTATGTGATACCGCTAGCTCAATGTATAGCGACATCAGAAGGTAACCTGAAGAAATACAACTCTTGTGAAATACACTTCATTATCTTTCTACCCTCCAATTCCTTTGCCACACTAAAGCCACTTTTCTCTTTTGCCTAACTAGCTCCTTGATTTCTTTGAGTCTCTCTCTCAGCAGTACCCAAGGGGATATTTCAAAATATATTCCTTCCTCTTACTTAGAATTTACCAATTTCACCCACTGGATTAATGATAAAACCCCAACTCCTCATCCCTGTGCAATTTAAATCTAAGCTCTCTCAGCTTACAGCTGGCAGTCTGCCACCTTACTCCAACCTCTCCACTTCTGGCTTTTTGCTGGTTAACTGGAGTCTCTTGGATCTGTCTGTCTAGAGCTGGCTTTGAACTTCAATCCTCAGACCTCAGGCTCCTGAGTAGCTAGGATAACAGACATGAGCCACTGGTGTCCACGTTTCCTCTTTACTCTTTAACAGTAAAGCCATATCAACCTCCTGTCTGTTTCTTGAGTACTCTGAGGCTTTGTGGTCCCCAGGCAGGCTTATATTCTAATTTTGTTTTTTCTACTTAGAATGCTCTTCCCAGAGCTCCTTCACCCTGCACCATCTTGATATCAGTGTATGTTCCCTGGATAGACCCTTTCTTGCCAGTGTTCTCCTTACTCTCAATCACAACCTTCTGCTTCTTTCCTTCATGAGACTTATTAGTATTTTAAAATAGCATATTTATTTATTTAGTTCCTTCATCACCAGAGTTATGGACTATTTTATATTTCTAGCATCAATCTTAGAACATAATAGCTACTTGCTGGGCCTTTATATAAAGATGTACATAATAAAATAAAGGTTTTTGTTTGTTTGTAGGCTGGGGATTAAATGAATAGAAATAGATTTTCTATCCAATCATTTTCCCCAGCCAGTTTCAATGTCCCAAAGTTTAATTAACAGAGCAGGGAAGACATCCTGAACTGAACTCAACACTTTGGATTTTTTTTTAAGTTCTTGGTGCTACTGGGGTTTGAACTTAGGACCTCACAATTGCTGGGCAGCACTCTACCACTTGAGCTTCAGCCCTACCCTGACACTTTCAAATTTGTACATTAGTATTTCTATTGGGAAAAATGTAAAGACACTAATTTGGCAGTTCTCTATTCACTATGCAGGGAACGGAACCAAATGACCTATTTTCGAGACATCCTCCAAGCCCTATAGAGGAACATTGCTTCCTTCCCTAACTACAACTTCATATATACATTGTGTTGACTTCTTGCTGAATTCAGACAATGGGAAGATCAGGAGATCAAAGAGAGAAAAAGAATGAAGTCAGGACATCGATCTCCCTGACTCCCTGAAAGCTGGCCGTGAACAGAGGTCATCCTGCTCTACAGATGCTGGTTCCAGACTTTGTCTCAAAGTTCTAGAACTGGTTCCTATCTTTTCTCTTCAGGCCTAGTTTGGCTGCTAGAACACCCTGGGACACTCAACCATCCTTTGTGGTTCTCATACACACTTTTTTTAAATAAGTAAACCTTTTGATGTCCCATGTCAGATATGCCATCTGTCATCTAATAGGACTTGCTGATAAAATATTTAGCACAACTGATATGAAAGCACTGACAGGAAAAGGGCTATTGGGCTATTATTGTTGGTATGATACAACCCTATTTATAAAAACATGCCTTTCCACATGACCGTGTACATATTATATAAGCACTTACATACCCACACTACAAAGTCTGGAGGGATGTTAACTAAATATGCAATAATGAGTATCTCCAGATAGTAGAATTTTGAGGATTTTTTTTTCCTTTTCTCTTAGTGTATTTATGTACTGGTTGAATGTTTAACAAGCATATATTACAGTGGCTGTATTTTCTTCTCTACCCCTTTTTTGACTACCTTAATTCAGAAGATCAATCAAAGTTTCCTTACTAGTCCTATTCGTTTTGTTGTTGCTGAAGATGAGGTACCATCATGTTACCCAGGCTGGACTTGAACTTGCTATCCTCCTGCCTCAGCCTCTAGGACAGCTAAGAGAACAGGCACATAACACACCTGGCTTCTCTTTACTGTTCTTGGACCATTCCAGCATCTGAATTGTCACCAAAGTGATTTTTCTAACAGGCAAACATGAGAATGTTATTCCTTTGCTCGGCAACTTTCATTGGCTCTCTATGTGGCTAGGAGAAAGCTCTAATTGAAAACATTTAAATATTTCTCTACAAGGCACATCAAGTCCTTGGAAATCAGACACCTCTCTACTTGTCTGGCCTAGCTCTTGCCGGTCATCCTTGGCACTCACTGCTTCTTCAGCACACTGTGTGCACTTCACCCCTCTGCCTGTACATATGCTGGATAGAATGCCTCCTTTGTACTTGTTCACCTAGTCAAGCCCTATTTATTCTTTTAATGTTAGATGAAAGTTACGTTCCTTTTTTTTCCCTGATGCCTTCCATATCCAATATAATTGTCCACTTGCCTACAATAACAATCATTACGTTGCAGTACTATAGCTATTCTCATGTGTTTCCCCCCCAACTAGACAGTGTTTCTTGGCAGCAGACAGAGTATCTTTCACCTTTGTATTCTCTGAGGTCTCATCATGTAGTCCAAACTGGCATTGAATTTGCCATCTTTTTGATTCAGCCTCTTGAATGCTGTATTACAGGCATGCACCACCAGATCTGGCCTTCATCCCTGTATTCTTGATACTGAACACAATAAGCCCTCAAATACTGTTTTAAGAAGAAATGTGCTTTTAATCTATATTCTGCTGGTTTAAGGGTTAGATTTTTTTGAAGAATGATTTATATGGTCAGTATAAACAAATTAAGCAAAATAGTGAGTAACTTAAAACTGTATGATACTGTTGCTGAGGACATATTTAAATCCTTATTAAAACCACTACTATCTCTTAAAGACACAAGTCCATGATTTCAGAGTCTGAACCAACTTCCAAATGTCTCACTGAAGGCACTTCATTATTTCACATAAGAGATGCCCATTTCTAATAAATGAGATACTTTAATCAAAACATAAATAAATTAAAACACAAATAAATTAAAAAAAGAATTTAAACTAGTAATGCTTACCAATACTAGCATGATCAATAATAGTATCAATATCTTGTAGACCCCATTTCTTATAAGCCAAGGGTGGTGGTTGTATGTTCTCATTCCCTGATGCTGCAGCTGTCAAAGATAAAGACAATCCAAATTTAAATCTAATGGGTAAAATGAAGTCTTACAAAAAAAATAAATATATAATTTGTTATTTTAGAACTACAACTAATAATAAAGCAAAGCAATGAGACAAGGCATAAAGTAAGATTTCCTTCATGACATGATAACATATACACAAAATGTAAATATTTATTTGAAAGACTAAATTGGTATAGGAGATTTTGGAACATTCAAGCTCAGAATTTAGAGAAAACTACAGAAATACCAAAAAAGCAATGTAAGTCAATGTGAAGTCAAACTGCATCAAATGTCAGGTAAGCCATTTCTCTTAGCCACACAGAGAGCCAAGAAAGAATCTGTAAGTAGGTCATATTATATAAAACAATTATCAGCAAAAGTAAAGTATGTGAGTACACAAGTAAGTAAAATATTTCCTTGTCTACCGTGATGTGGATATGGTAAAAAGTAACCATTCACATGGAAATAGTTTGTTGGGGTAAGAAATCTTTGAGTAAAGTACAAACACTTCCATATTCTGTCTTGTGTGCCATAATGAGACAAGGAAACTCCCCAACACACACACACACCCAAAAAAAGGTAAAGTATTTCTTGCCAAAAATATTACCTTTTGCTACCTGGTTTCGACAAGCACGAAGAGACTGAAAAAGGCTAAATCCATCAATAGTCACAATGGCAGCTGGATACAAGATACTCAATTCTTCATTCTGTTTGAGAAATGAAAAGTGGAGAAAATAATGCATTTTCTTGCACAGATATGGCAAATAAACATTTTTAATATGTGAGGGTCGCAAATAATGTAAAATTAAATACTATGACTAAACTGTCAACTATCTGATACTCAAAGCAATATGAGGGAAGGAATAGTAAGAATAAATGGAAATAAATTTCAAACTGTCTTTTGGCCAAGACTTATAATTCTTCTTAAATGAGCTTTTGAGGATGGTTGAAATCATTTGAGATATTTAGATGGTAGGAGGAAGAGGAGTTTTTTAAGTTTCATGCAAAAAAAAAAAATCATCATTGTATAAATACAAGCAATATATAAAAATAGAAAGCAAATGCACCTGAAGTTTATCCATAAACACTTGAATGAGATAATCACGTAAGTCTAAAACATATTTTAATTACTCATAACATGCCAATGATTTTTCCCCTTTTCGTAAATAAAGAAATCTTTTCTGCCACAGCTCTATAATGTGGAGCCACTACATTTTTTTTTTTGGGAAGCTAAATAGTACAAGAAAGGAAGGTACATTGTATAGTACATATAGTATATTATATGGAAAGGAAGGAACATTATAGTTTGACCATATATACTGCACACTAAATAAAGGCATATTGGTAGAAGTGGCTCTATAATGACTTTTTTTTTCTTTGGGGGACAAGGGAGAGGGTTGAACTCAGGGCCTTGGCACTTTTCCTGAACTCTTTTTGCTCAAGGCTAGCACTCTACCACTTTGAGCTACAGTGCCACTTCTAGTTTTTGAGTGGTTAATTGGAGATAAGAGTCTCACAGGGACTTTTCTGCTCAGATTGGCTTTGAATCACAATCCTTAGATCTCAGCCTCTCCAGTAGCTAGGATTACAGGTGTACAGTGACTTTTTAACTATAAAACCAGAACTTTTCTTTTACCACACGTAATTCTGACAGATAAGTCAAAATTAAAGATATAGTTATACATGCCACAGTTTACACACTCAAGAGTGTAATGTTTCATTTAAAAATACAAGTAAATTGGTATTTTAAATTCAGCTACAAATAGATAAAACACCATAGTTAACTGTGACATGTATCTGTTTCCATTCAAAAAAAAAGTGCTTCCAAGTAATGCCATTGTTGCTTTGAACAGTCTTGTACACTAACCTGTTCAGTCACGCCAGGATGTCGAGGGATTTCATAGGTCCTGCATTTAAGCTGAAGCACTGGGTCTTCATTCAAAAGCTGTGCAAGCAAAAGCACACCATTCTAGGAAGAAGCACAAAAGACTCAGCTTATTTTCTCATCAATGTGCCCAAACAAGAATTGCAGAACACATAGTACTATCTCCCCAGTAGTTTCCTATGCATATCAGGTACTCTCTTTTCAGAAGAATACAATTTCCCTTCTCTGTATCTTGTAGCAAAATGTACTACTGCCTCTCCTGGCCTTCAGGAAGCATTAATTTCAAGCAGCATATAATAAAGACACATGGTACTAGATATTACAGTCAACTAGGATTTTCTTTTTTTTGGGGGGGGGGGCGGGGGTCCGGTCGTGGGGCCTGAACTCTGGGCCTGGAAGCTGTCCCTCAGCTCTTCAGCTCAAGGCTAGCGCTCTACCACTTGAGCCACAGCGCCACTTCTGGCTTTTTTTTCCTTTTTGCTTATGTGGTGCTGGGGAATCGAACCCAGGGCCTCAGGCATGCAAGGCAAGCACTCTACCACTGAGCCACCTTCGCAGCCCAACAACTAGAATTTTCTTAATGCTGGAAACCCAACTCACCTCAGTGTAGAAGCGTACATAGCCTGAAGTAAAACCCACTACAATGCAAGTCCAGTCAGGGCGTCCAGTGGAACTCCTGTAACAAATGAAATTTATGATCCTAATAGCCAGATATCAAGAAGAAGAGATAACTCTTATTTATCCTTACCTCTTTTGACTTGCTAGTGGGATACAGAGGGCACTAGTTACACGTTCCCTAAAAACAAGAACAAAATCACATGCTTATCCACTGACCTTACTTTTATTTCTCTATAATTTGATTTTAAAAGATATTAAGTAGGGCTGGGAAGGTGGCTCAGTGGTTAAAGCGCTTGCCTTGCATGCCTGAGGCCCTGGGTTCGATTCCTCAGCACCACATAAGCAAAAAAAAAAAAAAAAAAAGCCGGAAGTGGCGCTGTGGCTCAAGTGGTAGAGTGCTAGCCTTCAGCTGAAGAGCTGAGGGACAGTGCCCAGGCCCAGAGTTCAGGCACCATGACCGGACCCAAAAAAAAATAAAATAAAATAAAAGATATTAAGTAAGTAGAATGGGACCTTATGTACTGGTTTTATTGTATGCATAAATAAGAATACAGTAAAATTCAAGCCAAGTGCTGGTGGCTCATGCTTGTAGCTACTTGGAAAGCTAAGATCAGGGTTCAAGGCCATCCTAGGCAAGAAAGTACAAAAGATTCTTATCTCTAATTAGCTACCAAAAGGCAACGTGGAGCTGTGGCTCAACTGGTAGAATATTAGTCTTGAGCAAAAAAGCTCATGGGAAGCATCTAAGCCCTGAGTTCAAATCCCAGAAGTAGCATACACACAAAAAAGTACAATAAAATTCATTCACATAAACTATAACATCACATTCATTTGAAGTTAATAGCTGTATTTTAAATTCTGTATTCATAAAAAGCATGAAAAAAAACAAAACTTTACACATGTAACTGATTGTACACAGAAATAGAAAATCTCAAATAATCAATAAGCAGTTATTTCTCACAAGTTCCTATCTTCATTTCTCTACAAACTCTAAAGCTGGAATGCATATACATTTACTAAATATTTCAAATGATGGAACTACTTATTTATTTCACACATTCATTTAACACTAAGAGAAATCCAAAATTAACTCAAACCTACCCTTCTTCAACATTCAGAGAACCACTCCAACCAACAGCAAATTGCATTTCTTCCTTTCCTTTATCACTGCATTTCCATTTTGCTGGAAAAAATTAAGATACCATATAAAATAACCACTCTATCCCTTTAGGATGATTATAGAATTTAATAGCTCAATCATTCGTTGATTTGGGTCTTTTTATAGGTATATATTATATTTTAAATTTAAGAGCTTTTAAAAAAATCATCTGGTTTCCTAACTTTCCTGCAATTAAACCCATGTAGTATACTATATTATACATAGTTCTTGCATACCACTTATCTCATTTATAATCTTTATCTTCAGATACAGACATTTTTCTATTTGAGAAAATTATTTTATAAGATCATTCTACAGTCATTTTATATACAATCTTATTTTGTTCAATAAGTGTTCCCATAATATCTTATATACTTAAATCTTAATTTTAATCTTCAAAGTCTATGAGCTGAAAATCTATGCCCCAAACAAAAACGTATATTATTCTAAGTCTGTAAACTATAGCTACAAGTCATACCAGTTATACTGTTACTAAAAAGCAGTCAATGACCTTATCAGCACTAACTCTCCCTTGCAATAAATGGGCTGCTGTCTCTGAAGGGCCATTCAGTGATAAAGTATCTTGTAGTCAGAGAGAAAAGAAGGATGGAAGGAAGGAAGGAAAGAAGGAAGAAAGGGAGTGAGTGAGGGAGGGAGGGAGGGAGGCAGGGTGGGAGGAAGGAAATACAATTGCTGCCTGACATACCAATTTATAGATGTGACCATATAATATAAACGAAAGAAATATTTGAAAATTTCCAAATACCCTATATACTACTCCAATCTATACATTCAAATAAAAACTGCAGAAAACAATAGAGTACTTACGCACTAAAAACACAGCTTTTTGTTCCCGAGCTATAACCATCAGATCATTGGTTGGAGATAAGGATAAAACACAGTCTTGAAGCCAGGAAGTTCTTTGTGTTCTGCACGTATTTCCTTCTTCTTCCTATGAGTAAAAATGTTTTCCATAAATGCAAAAATATTGTGTACTTCAATTCAGTTTGCCTTAGAGTGTAAGGGGGAAGAAAAAAGGAAAAAGAAAGATCCCTGATTGTTACAGTCTATAATATTCTTTATCAAAGCATGTGAAGGATGATCAATAAACAAAATACAAAGTATAAGTTAATTTGTCTTGAACATTAAAAATTTTTTTAAACATACAAGCAAAACATTAGAAGAATATCACACAAGGATCATTCCAGTAATGAACCAATCTTGGGAAACTCAATAAAGAACGCATTAAGAAAAAGCTGTGACATAAGCAGCTAGATGGCAAAGAAAAAAATAACCATTATCTCATGACAGCTATGGTTTTAAGATCTGTAAAAGTATCTGATAAAGTATGATGCTTGCCTTTTGTTTGACCTGACTTTCCTAAATTGGAAATTTATTTTTTAATAGGTAAATGTCTATAGTTAAAATCCAAAGGGTATTATATATTTAAAAAAAAAAAAAGGTTTTCTTTGGAATGTCTCTCTCATAGTCCTGTGCTCCAGCCATCTAGTTGTCTTCTCTACAGAAAACCAAAGAAATCAGTTCTAACTCCTGTGACACTTTATGTACATAAATGCAAGTAAGTTTACTACTTTTTCTTCCCCCTTTCAGGGATAGTAGCATAATGTATGTCTAACATTTTGCTTTTTGTTCCTAACATATACAATAGACTTTATTCCACTTGACATTTATTCTTATTAAAAGCATGCATAGCATAAATGCACCTCTTGATAGACATTTATGTCACTTACAGTCATTAGCTGTTATCAAGTGCATGGATAAGTATATACATTTGTTAAAAACTGTGTTCCACGTGTGCTTGTATTCATCCGTAACATGACTAGCCATTTTTTTTTTAAAGCACTTGTTTTTCCAGACTTTTCAAAATATATTTTAACTAGATCTTTGTCAGGCTAATAGATAAAAAGGAGTATCTCAGTGTAGTTTTAAGCTGCTTTTCTCTTATGAAAATAGACATTTTCTCACATGCTTAAAAATTCATTTGTAGCCAGGCACCGGTGGCTATAATCCTTAGCTACTCAGGAGGCTGAGATCTGAGGATTGTGGTTCAAAGCCAGCTCCTACAGGGAAGTCCGTAAGACTCTTACTTCCAATAAACCACTCAGAAAACTGGAAGTGATGCTGTGGCTCAAGAGGTAGAGCACTAGCCTTGAGCTGAAGAGCTGAGGGGACAGCACTCAGGCCCAGAGTTCAGGCCCCATGACAGGCAAAAAAAAACCAGATGTAAATTTTCTACAAATACTTTACTCCACTCCTTGGTACAATTCCTGTTGGGTTGCTGCATTTTTTTTATAAATGACTTGTCTATATTAAGAGTCCTACCTTTGAGGAGAGTCAACAGAGGTAGAAGGCAGGAAGTATTATAAATATAAACAATAAAAAGAGGCACAAGGCAGGAAGTAGCATAAATGCAAACAACAATAACAACAAAAAGTATGTGGATCTGTCTGAAGTAGTTCCTGTATTAAATCTTTTTCAAGAAAGCCTCAAGTCAAAAGATACAGTATAGTCAGAATGAATAAACATCTACTCCAGGCTGGATCACAATAAACTACTATTAGCTTTTATAGCAAAACTTGATTTCTATAACTCATCAAGAAAGTTCAGGCATGAAACAGGATGCACACTACAATGCTTTGTGAAGTTTATTAGAGCATCAGCACACATTTGTTGGCTGACAAAATGCAGGCTCAGCATTTTGTTTTATACTATAAGGATATTTGCCCACTACATTTTTGAAAAAAATCTCCCCATGCTAAAGGGGACCACAGTCACTAATATTGGTCCCTTGAAGCTAGTGATCTTAAAATAAAAGCATCAATTAGCTAGATAGTTAATTTCCCAAGTAAGGCATGACATTTTAAAAAAGAATTTAAAAAGCATCTTATGGGAGAAGGAAAGCAGGAAAAAACAAGGAGGAAGTAACAATGTTTGACAAGGATTGAACTCATTTCCTTACTTGTGTAACTGTTACCCCTCTGTACATCAACTTCACAATAAAAAAAAGACAAGCATCTTACCACTTAAAAGTGCTACATCAGAATGACCTAGTTTTCCACAAAAACTAGTGCCTTCATTAAAATTAATATCCATATTTATAATTATATATTACATATTGCAACATATTAATATTCATATTTCTAAAACATAATCCCTAGGAGGCTAAGTTTGTAGTTCAGCCTATACAAGGATCTGGGTTCAATCATTACCATTACAAAAACCAAACTAAAACAAAACAAATGAACACAAGGAACATAATCCCTATTGGGGGAAGAAGAAATCTGTTAAGTGAGGCCTATTCATCAAAGCTTCATCTTTCAATTAAGACCCATGAAAACGTTTTCTTCACTGCACAAATATGGTAGCCACTACTGTGGATTGTAAAAGAATTCTTTTTAAACAACTAGAGTTATAGTATATACTGCAAAATAGTTCTTTTGATTTTAAGCTCACAAATCTGTCAAATAATTATTGTTTCACAATGTACTAGATGTCTACCTCAGAGTTTGGTGAATTATTCCTTAGTAAACATGGTGACAAATGTTTTCTGGTGTATGTAATAGTACAGAGGGTAGATAGTCATTCAAGTAGTCAGGAACAACTTCTCAAAGCTTTCAACTTTAATACCATCGGTCCACTGTTTGCAACATGGGTTCTTCTTGTTACTGTGTTAACTTTCCAAGTTATTTATATATTATAGTGGTGCCAATAATGTTCACTGAAATAAGGCACTTTTATCACATTCACTGTAATTCTCAGTGGTTTACCATCTAAGACAAGAAACTAAAATATTCATCTATACTTTCAAAGGGGCATAAATGCTTCAGCTATTTTGAGACACAAGAAGAAAGTAAGCAGTGCTCTATAAGTAGGGTTTTCTCCCTTCCCCCACAAGTCTATTGCTAATATACGCAATGCTCTATATTTTTCAAACATTTTTCTTGTTTTCTTAAAGGGGAGGGATTGTAGCAAGACTTATTCCCAAACAAAACTACATACAAAAGTTCAGTTCACAAGCTACATAGGAGCAGAGATGAGCACCTCTGTGAAGGCCTGCAGTATGAAAAGTACTAGTCCAGCCCCTTTCCAAATCCAAATCTGAAATTTCCAAATAGAAGATTTTTTTTTTTTTGGTCGGTCATGGGGCTTGAACTCTGGGCTTGGGCGTTGTCCCTCAGCTCTTCAGCTCAAGGTGAGTGCTCTACCACTTGAGCTACAGCGCCACTTCCGGTTTTCTGGTGGTTTATTGGAGACAGGAGTCTCACGGTCTCTCCTGCCCGGGCTGGCTTTGAACCGCAATCCTCAGATCTCAGCCTCCTGAGTAGCTAGGATTACAGGCGTGAGCCACCAGCGCCCAGCCCAAATAGAAGATTTTAAGTTCTTTTCTGATGCAAATGGCATTAGAGAAATAATGAAATAATGAAAAAAAAAAGTAATGCTCTAATTGAGAATCTTGAGTCAGGTCACGCTATAGTCTATGCTTTAGACTTTAAGCATATATTTCTTTGGGCACCCATCTGATTAACATGTTTTCAATTCCTTGTTTATCTGACAGATCATCGTTGCCTCTGCCACTTTTTATAGAACAGATGGGGCATATATCAAAGTCTCTTTTAAAAGGAAATTTCCCACACTGCCTATCCAAATAGAGGACACAGAACCTTCTTTACTTCCTGTTCCAGTAACTGCTCCTCACCATCTATTTACTATTGAGGAAACTAATGCTATTCTTCTCTTCTTTGTCCTTAATACGCCTTAAATATACCTTCCTAGTTAAGATAAAAATCTAGCCTTTTTCAAATTTCCTTCAGACTGCTTCAGTTCCCTTTAAAATGTGAAGGCGGGCTGAGCAAAATATTCCAACATAACCAGTTATTTCTTAGAGGAAAAAAATTAGAGCTAGATGTGGTGGCTCTCAGCTACATAGAAAGCTGAGACCAAAAGGATCACAGTTTGAGGCATAATGAGGCTTCCTCAGGAGAAAAAGTCCTTGACATTTTATCTAACAAAAAATCTGGGCATGGCAACAGATGCTGGTTATCTCTGCTACAGAAATAGACATAAACAGGAGGATCAAGGTCCAGGTTGCCAAAAGCAAAAAGAAACCCTAGCCTGAAAATAACAAGAGAAAAAGCTCTGGAGATGTGGCTCAAGTGGCAGAGCACCTTTCCAGTAAGTGTGAGTCCCTGAGTTCAAACCTCAGTACTGGTCTGGTGCTTTTTTTCATTCTCTTTTATTTCCTTATGCGCAAGCTGGAATTCTTTAACTTTATTCTTCATTGCCCAATTATACTTGATATAGATCTACTATTTTGAGTATTGTTATGTACTGACTAGTAACTCCTCCTATCTCAATTTACATACTTATGTCCTAAACCCCTAATTTAACTACTATTTGATAACAGGGCCTATAAGGAGATAATCTAGGTTAAATAAGGTCCTATGTAGCTGATATCCTGATAGGGAGATGAGGCGTAAGAATTCAGTCTCCACCCCCATGTATACACAGAAGAGAGGACAACTGAGAAGACAGCAAGGAGTGTTCTGCTCTGGACTCTACAACAGTGAGAAGATAAACTTTCGTTCTTTAAATCAGACAATCTGTGGTATTGTTATGGCAACCCTGAGCACACAGAAGCAGGCAGGCAGGAAATATCTGTTCAGAACACTTACCTTCTATTACAGAAGCCACACTTTAAGCTCCTAAGCCCACCGACGTCACAGACACATATTTCTTTAGGTATGGCTGGCTGCTGCTGGTATTTCATATTATAATAGGCCTGACTTCCTTCCCCCCCCCTTTTTTTCTAAATTTTGGCCCAGAAAATTACTTTACTGGTCAGTGAAATTACCTTTAAAAATAGCCAAGAAGTGAGAGCATTCTGTCTTTCATTTTAAGAGAATGGTTAGTATAGCAAAGACAAGACAATCTACAATAAAGCAAGCCCAGGCAGCACAACAGGGTTTCTACAGAGGGTTCTCTGTTCCAAGCAAGGTAGGTAGGTAGAGAACCTGGCTGAAAAAAAAAAAAATCACAAGTGGCCAGAAGCCCTTGAAGGGAGTCTGGCCTGTCCCTTCTCAACAAGACCACATGCCGTTAGCCCAACTACAGAACTACTTCTGTTAATATCAACAGTTTGGTCCCAAGCCCTCCAATACATTGTGACACTGTCTAAGTGGGTTTTTTTGTTCCATAATTGTACTGGGAGGTAGGCTAACACCTGTTTAGGTGTGTCCCAGATTTAAGCTGTGGTTACTTGTTCACTTATCCCATACTGATATCATGTCTGTGTAAAGGCAGACAGAGACCACAGCAACCTGAACCTTTTTCCCAACCATGAACTAACTGTTCCCATAGCTTGGCCATGATGAGAATCCCAGCAATGGGAGGTCAACCCTCCTGCAGGTGATCCACTTGTCACTGTTTATTTGCATTATCCTCCCACATGGGTGTAATAACTTCTTTGGTGAGATGGAAGTAATTAGGACCTGAATCTGGTCCCTGGAACATGCCATAAAACCAACTGCTCCACAGAGACAAAAGATTTCTTCTGTCTTGATATTCTGTTCATCGGTCTATAAGCTGGTAGGGCAGCCCAGGCTCCTCAGGAAATGGCAAGAAATGCAGTCAAAATGCAAGGATGCTCTGCTGGTCTGCGGACAGTAACCTTCCTCTTGTTCCTTGCTTTACTCCCATGTTCATTTTTCATTTCTCACCATCTCTCTGTGTGCTGTTTACTTCAATCTGCTCACTGTATCCACTGTTACTATCTTCCAAGACTTGATGTTCTTCTTGTTGCTGCTACTTTCACTGCCTCAGAGAGACAATACAGGAGCTAGAATGCATTTCTTCACTAAGCCCTTAGGATGTTTGACACCTTGGAATCAGAAAAAACTAAAGAGGCTTTCTTTAAAAAAAAAAAAAGGCTTTTCCAGACTTCTGGCACTGTCAAGTTTAAATTCAAAAGCCCTTTATTCTTTAATGCCATAAAAATGAAACTATTCTCAAGAGTAGTGGAGACTTGTGGAGGTAAAAGCATCCTGGAGTTGTAATAGTTTGCTGCTGGACTCAACAGTACCAGCTGGCCTCCAGGTCAGCCACATTCAGTAGAGCTGGCTGTCATTTATCTGCTTACTACTGTTATACCCGTAAGGACCAAAACAAAACAGCTTTCTACTGCCAAACCAATAAGAATAAAAGCTCATCACAATGGTCTCAACACAATGGCAACTGACAGAACCCAATTATTATGTTTATAGTTAGAGCTTCTTGACACAGCCACAAGCTGACTTCAAGACATTCTACTGTGTTGCTGGCATCATTGTTAGTGTGAACATGACCGAGCTATACTTTCAGGGAAAGTAGTAGGTTGTGAGTTTTCTGATATTCCTAGCAAAAGAGAGTAGAAATTTCCTTTCCATTCTTACCTCCTCACAGGGTATGGGAGACCTAGTAGAGCTTTAGTATAAAATAAAAGATAAAGAATCCAAGACGACAAAGATATAAGCAAAATCCAGTCTTTAATTACATGATCCTACTTATATGACATATTCAGAATAGCAAATTCACAGACAGAAAGAAAATCAGTGGTAGTCAGGGGTTGGGGATCAGGGAAGCACAGGAGGTGGATGACTAACGGACATGGGTGATGAAACACTACAGAATGAGATCACTGGTAATGCTGTACAAGAGGTTTGTGAATATTAAAACCACACTAAACTGTATACTCTAAAGGGTGAATATATGGTACATGAATTATATCAAAACTGTGCACATTAACATGAGAACAAACTATTAAAATCTGAGTAACTAAAATGGATACTAAAAACCACAAAAGAACCAATGAAGGAGTAACAAAAGAACTAAAGGACATGAGGCAATAGTCAACAAATAGCAAGATGACAGATTTGAATTCAACAGTACCAATAATTACATTAAATGTGAAGAAATTAGTCACTCCAATCAAAGGTTAAGATTAGTCAGACAAGATCCAACAATCTGGTATCCACAAGAAAATGTAATTTAGATTAAAAGACTGAATAGGTTAAAAGTAAAAGGATGGAAAAGAGGTACAGCATGACAAAAAGTGACCAAAGGAAAGCTGAAGTGGCTATAACAAATATTAGACAAAATAGATATTAATATAAGGACAACCACTAGATACAAAGAGAAATGTTTCAGAATGAGAGCTATCAGGAACATATGACAAATAATTGTGTATGTACTTCACAACAGAATCCTAAAATACATGAAGCAAAATCTGACAAAGCTGGAAAGGGAAATACACAATCCCACAGTAACAGATGGAGATTTCAATGCTTTTCTTTCAATAATAGATAGAATAGTGAACAACCCATATAAGGGAGACTTTTATGACACCATAAAACAACATACAATAAATTTAAAAGGTTTGGAAGAATACAAAATATGTTCTGATAACATCAGAAAATGAGAACAGCAGGGGACAAGGTTTTGACTGCTAAGGTGATGAAACATTCACTTCTTCGAGCAGGATTTTCAAAGAGTCAACACCTGCCAATCTTCCCACTGGTCTTCCGGCACGTTTGCCTGCTCTTAATATTTCCCTGGAGTTTTTAAATAAATCTTTACTACATGAGTATCTCTACTTCTTAGCACATGATACTCTTTAATTTCTCCTCCAAACATACTATTTTCCTCTTCTTTCCCATTCAGTATGACACATCATTCACTCAGGTCTCAAGATAAATATCTGGGAGGGTGTATTACTTTTTATTATAGCTATCTTTAAACATTAACAAAATCAAAAGCAAAGGACTCACTTTTTAGGAGTTGTAACATATGCCAATTGTATTTTATTTATTCCATACCATATCCCAGGTCAAAAAGGTCATTCTGCGGTTGTTTCGTTTTTGGTAGAAATGGGGTTTGAACTCATGCTTGGTAGGCAGGTACTATCACTGAGCCACACCTCTAACTCCATTTTTTGCTGATTAATTTTGAGATTAAATTCTTACTTCCTGCCCTTGGGCCCAGACCACAATCTACCTAGTTTAAACTTTCTATCATTGCCGGACTCACAGGCATTCACCACCACATCCAGCTTCCCGCAAGACAGTCTCACGGATTTTTATGCCAAGCTGTCTTAGAACTTGAGTCTTCTCAATTTGAGCTTCCTATATAGCGTAAGATAACAGGCACATATAACTGCTAGCAGTTATGGATTTAAGAAGGAGCCTCTTAAATAGGTAGAATTTTGAGCATAAGCTTGTCTAAAGAAGTTATGGGTTTCAATATGTCAGTTCTGAGTACCATGTATCCTGACCAATGTCACTCCTTTCATCCTCCCCTATCTCTTCAAACCCCATCCACATATTCTTTTTTTTTTTTTTTTTGGTCCGGTTATGGAGCCTGAACTCTGGGCCTGGGCGCTGTCCCTCAGCTCTTCGGCTCAAGGCTAGCACTCTACCACTTGAGCCACAGAGCCACTTCTGTTGTTTTTTTTTTTTTCTGCTTATGTGGTGCTGAGGAATCGAACCCAGGGCCTCATGCATTCAAGGCAAGCGCTCTACCACTGAGGCAGCTTCCCAGGCCCCCATCCACATATTCTTGATTTTTTATTTTCCTCTCACCCTTAGCAATCACCTACCCCATTGCAAAGTCTTACTGTTATCTCCAAAACTTACCCAGAACTCACCCACTTCTTTTTTTTTGGGGGGGGCAGTCATGGCACCTGAACTCTGGGCCTGGGCACTATCCCTTACCTCTTCAGCTCAAGGCTAGTTCTCTACCACTTGAGCCATAGCGCCACTTCTGGCTTTTTCTGCTTATGTGGTGCTGAGGAATCGAACCCAACGCCTCATGCATGCAAGGCAAGCACTCTACCACTGAGCCACCTTCCCAGCCACTTCACCCACTTCTTATATTCACTAATATTACTTTAACCAAGCCAACATCATTTTCTAACTAAACTACTTCAACAGATACTTTTCTCCCTACTTTGATTTATTCCTAAGAGCAACCAAGGTAAGCTACAGAAATCATAAATTGTGTGTGTGTGTGTGTGTGTGCGCGCGCGCGCATGCTCCCATTGCATTTAGAATAAACTTCAAATTCATAATATTTCACATGGGGTCTGCTTACTTCTCTGACCCCTTCTTATAGCAGTTTCATTTCCACCATGTCACACCAGTTTGATGTTCTGTCAAACAGGAAGGCCTTCTTTCCTCAGGTCTTTGTGTGCTTATGTCTGGTTGCCATGCCCTAAATATTCCTTGCCACATCTTCACCACATTGATTTTATATTGTATTTACATCTCAGGTTAATTGTCATATCCTCTGAAAGCCTTCCCTAACTATACAATGTACAGCAGTAACTCCATTTTGCTAACTCATGAACATTTGAATTTTCTGAATATCTATTGCCACCATTTGATACTTTTCAATTATTTCTCCTTTTGATTTCTTTCTCCCCACTAGAGTATAAGCTCTAATGGGAGCAGGGACCTACAATATGCTGGGTACAATAGATATTTGTTGAATTACTAAGTGAAAGAAGTCTAAAATAGTAAGTTATACCTAAAATGAACATTCTCTATCTAGCCTTTACTATGCTTTAAATGTGCCCCCTTAAAAGGCAAGTTAAACTCTTAATTTCTAAGGTAATAATGTGAGAAAGTGAGACTTAATGAGAGGTGATCTAGGTCAGAAGGCCCTGAGTTCAAGGCCCAGGATCAGCACCCTAAAAAAAGCATGAGGTCCTCCTACATTCCAGTACCACCATGGGCAGTAAAAAAATGTAGAGGAGTAAGTATCTAGTTAGGAATTATTAAGTAAACATGTCTTTGACAAAGATTTTAAAATGTCAACCTAACACAGAAACATGTTACTAACATTGGAGAAGAAAAATGCCATTGTCAAAATAACATGGGTACATTTAAAAACACTTACAGGTTCTTGTAGGTCTGTTTCTTCCCATGCTCCCCAGCCATCATCTTCCCAGTTTGTTGATTTACCTGTTTTTTAAAAAATGAAAATGCTTACATGAAATATATAGCTTAAAATACTTTAAACCCATTTCCTCTAACTGTAATAAAACCAATCCCTCTAAAATGTTGATTGTTAAAAAAGAAAACAAGCCAGGTGCTAGTGGTTCATGCCTATAATAATAGCTACTCTGGAGATTGAGATCTAAGGATCATGGTTTGAAGCCATCTAGGGCAGAAGTTTAAGAGACTCTATCTCCAAATAACCAGCAAAAAAATCTGAACTGGAGGTATAGTTCAACAAGCAGAGTGTCAAATGTGAGCAAAATGCTGAGCAAGAATGTAAGGCCCTAGTCCAAGCCCCAGTACTGAAGTGCGTATGCATGTGTACAAGTGCGTGCACACACACACACACACACACACACACACACACAAACAACTAGAAAATGTGTTACATTAGGATTTTGCCCTATATGGAAACAATCAGGAAACATCTGATCTACTGAATTTCCAAATACGTGTACTATTAAAATCGTGTGCACATTATTTGGATCTTAAGATACTGGACATCAAGAGGATCTATATTTATCAAACTGCAAATGGTGACAAATTTTTTATTTGTTTGCTACTTAAGACAAAAATACAGTTACAAAAACACCTAAAATGCCTTTAAAATGAATTGTTTCTTAACAAGACAAGGTATCCATGAAAAAGAAAATTAAGCTTTGAAATCAGATAAATTCAGTACCCACTTCTGATCCTTGACTTCTTACATATGGGACATCCTCTCAGATTTTAATTTGCAGTAATATAAAGTATCCAGTGATAGCTCAAATCCTGATCCAGCACTTAACGAATTCTGTGAGATCAGATATGTTATCTCTCATCTCTAAGCTTTAGGTTTTTTTCACTACGAATGCAGAAAAAACAATAGCTCTTTTAACTAGTCGGGCTGTGGTAAGGATTTGAATCAGACAGCATACATACTAAGGTATTATTATGAGCTTGACATAAGTTTTCAAGATCTTGCCACTAAAATAGAGTGACTAAAAGTACAAATAAGTAATACTTCAGCAATTAAAACCAGCTTTAAAATTCTTAAGGAAACCACTTTAAAAGATGGTTCTAATCTTGGGCATGTACAATCCTAGCACCACAGAGGTTGAGGCGGAAGCTGACAAGTTTCAGGTTAGCCCAGGATACACAGCAAGACCCTGTGTCAGAAAACCAAAAAGGGGGCTGATTTTGATGGTTTACAGCTGGAAGGAAATGACCAGAAATTTTACCTACATATAAGGTTTTAAAAGTTACTGAAATCAATTATGCAGAAATAATTTTAAAAAAGGAAACATTGTATATTTGATACTTGGAATCATTGTTCAATTAACTTGCAGTAATAGTAATCTAATTTGGGGTACTTAAATAAGAAATAACTACTTCCTAATATCCCAAGCACATGACTAGAATATATTAAGTCCTACAAGACTACACTATTTGATTAAAACTGCAATGTACAGATTTCCATACGTAAGTCAATTAACAATTTTAACAACTGATCTGTTAAATACCATGGGCCAAACCCTGTAGTAGGAGCTAAGAAACAGAAGAGGAACTAACATGTACCTGTAACACATGGAGAGTGCTATATATATTTGACTATTAAAGGATCTTGGAGAGGTGAGATATATAAAAAGTGAAATGCATTTCTAAAAAGTACTTATAGACTTGGAAAAAACTCACCACTAATAAGAAAAGGTAAAGAGGAAGACTAACATGAACCGAACATTTCTACATGCCTGAGTGCTTATGGACATTAACTCAATTTAAACACCATAAGGATCCTCTAAAAGCCCCCATTTTACAAGGAGAAAAACAGAGTTTAAGCAGCTTGACCATATCACATAGGATTAAGTAGTAAAGTAGGATTTGAATTCAGGACCACATTAGTTCCACAGCTCATACTTTTTTTTTTTTCTTTTTTGTCGGTTGTGGGGCCTGAACTCTGGGCCTGGGTGCTGACCCTCAGCTCTTCAGCTCAAAGCTAGCGTTCAACCACTTGAGCTACAGTGCCATTTGTGGCTTTTTCTGCTTACGTGATGCTGAGGAATCAAACCCAGGGCCTCATGCATGAGAGGCAAGCACTCTACAATTGAGCCACCTGCTCAGCCCCAACAGCTCATATTCTTAAGAATTATACTACTCATATTCCTACTGTAGCTCATGAAGAAGGATAAGATTAGGGAATGGTATAGTTTGCATATAATGCCAAAAGTAAGAGCTCTTAATTTTTTTCCCCTGATAATACAAACATCCCCTTGATATTGAGATGTAAGAGAGGCTAATTTTTGTTTGTCGTTTTTTAACTTAGATTACAATTTGTTCTTTGGAAACATAATCCAGAGAGGCAATTGAATTCATTTTCTACTGCATCAAAAACAGCTGTCTTATTTTGCTTAATGGAAGCAACTAGACCAACTAGACAATCCCATTTACAGTTTTAGAATACGTCTTGTCTGCTGAACAGGAAATTAAAGTCCATGACTCACTTTGCAACTGGCTATTAAAATTAATGCATATACCAAGGTACCAATATATCAAGAAAAGCATGCAGAATTAAAGTCCTTCAGGAAGGTCAGCTAATCACCCACACATTCATTTCACAAACAGCACCTTTCATGTGCTAGACACTGTGCTAAATGCAGAATATATAAAAGCAAATAACACGTCAAAAAGCTCAGTTTGAGCATAGAACTTCTGTTGAATTCTGTTAAAAACTATAAAAAAAAACCTTTTATTTTTCATTTATATTGGTATAAAAAGAACCTGAGTCAAGTCATAAATGACTCATACAATCAAACGGAAGACAGCAGTAATTTGGATTTCCTACCCCTGTGGAGAATCTATTCCTTTATGACACAATTCAAAATATTCAAGACTTAAGAGAAATATTTTAAGCAAGCGTTTGTGTTCATGAGGGCTTATCCATTTTTCAGTGGTAGGAAGCTTGATTAGGAAAGCTTTTGACTAGGAAGCTTCTCTCAACTAGAGGAAAAAGAGATTGGGGGGGAGGGGCAGAGGGGGGTTTGGACTCAGGGCCTGGGGACTGTCCTTGAACTTTTTTGCTCAAGGCTAGCATTCTATCACTTTGAGCAACGGGTCCACTTTTGGTTTTTAGGTGGTTCATTGGAGATAAAGAGTCTCACAGCCTTTCCTGCTCAGTCTGGCTTCCAACCTTGATCCTCGGATCTCAGCCACCTGAATAGCTAGGATTATAGGCGTGAGCCACCAGTGCCCAGATGAAAGAGAATTTAATTGGAGAGTTCCCACTACCGTTTTTCAAAGGAAATCAGGATAAAAACAGAGTAAAGATGTTTTATAGACTGCTGTACAATACTTACTATGTCTACTACAATAAATAAAATTCTAAATTCTAGTCAATTTAAATATGGGAAACATTTTACAAATTAAACATTACCCTTGTGGGCTATTTCTACTCGGTGCCAGTGATCTAAATTTTGTGGCATCCTTAATTTCTGTTGAAAATCATTTAGTATACTTTGCAAGCTGCTATTTGACAACTACTGTCAGCTGATGAAAAGTGTTAGACTCCCAGCACTTCACCAAAGATATTTCTGATATCTTTAAGTTATGCAAGTAGGCCAAGAATAATCTCTAAGGAAAAAAAAGACAAGTTTATACTTAAAACATAGCTATCAGCATCTAATAAAGATGTCATTCAGGTAAAAAATTTTATTTAGAAATAGTTTTTCCTTCTGATAACCTTTCTTGAAGAACAGTGTTCTTCCACTGATATAAGTTTAATACTTGTCTGGTCAGCACTGGGGTGTGAATTCAGGGCTTCATACTTGATAGGCAGGCTATTCTACTCTTTGAGCCACATTTCCAGCTTGTATTCATATAATTAGTACTGTTTCCTTTTTTTTTTTAAGCACTTGAGTTTAAACTCAGTTATTCCAGTATGCTCAACTTGCTTGCTTGATCCACTACCATTCTACCACTTAGAGGGTAATTGTAACTGGTTTTGTCCCTATTTATTGAAGCAGCAGCAACCACTAAATGTCCCATAAGCACTTCTATAATTAACACTGTCATCAACTGCCTCCGTCTTTCATTTTGTTGAAGGTAATCCAACAAATCGGACCAGAAAATTAAGAAAATGGCAGTTATATTTACTGCCTTCATAAAACTAAAATTACAGTATCTTTTGCAGATCTCCCTCTATAGGTATCCTGAAAAACTTTGCAGTGAAGAAATTCAGATGAGTTAGGATGACTAATCGAATCAGGGATTGTGGTTGGGGGCTCTGTATGAGTCCAGGAATCTGAGTTTACTAATCTCCATCCCCCAAATCAGAGGCAGACAGATCATAGATAATGTGCTAAGGTATACTAAATTAGAAATTAAATGTAATGCTATTCTAAGCTGATCCTCAACATCCTCTTCTCTTGGCCTGCCACTACTCTTTTCCTAGTTGGACTGTGCTTCACTAGTAGGCAGTCTAACAGTGCTGCCTAACAGAAATTTAATGTGAGCCACATGTATAAGCTAACTAGTCACATTTAAGTAAAAATATATAAAATTAAACTTGATTAAAGTATTTTAGCATAATATAGCCAGTAGGTCACAATTTTAATGAAATCAATGTGAATTTATGAGAAATTAAATCCTTTTTTATATATTTTACATTTAGAGTGTGTCTTGGTTCCTACTAGCCATTTTCCTAATGTTCATAAAACAAGTATCTGGAATCAGATTGCCTGGGTTAGATGTCCAGTTTTATCCTAAAGAGTTAGATGAGTTGGGGCAATTTAATTTTTTACTGCCTCAGCTTCCTTTTTAATAAAACAGAGTTAGTAACTATATCTCCTTTACAGAATTTTGACAAACTATTCAAAGCTCTAAGGACATATAGAGCTGGCAAAGGACACCATACTGTCTGTCATAGTGACACCTAAATACCGCTGTTATGATAAACTTCCAAGTACAACATTTTCACACACGTATCTCTC